CAATAAAAATTTATACTGATGTAATAAAAAAAGTTTATACTGATAATTGATAAACTAAAAATACTAATAAAAAATTGAAATCCACTAATTTCATCCGCTGGTAAATAAAAGAATTAAAACAATAGAATTAAATTAAATTAAAATGGATAGAAAAGTCAAAGCGCCACATGACCCATGTGCTATATTGATTTTAAAATCCAATAAATTAAGCACCAGTGTGCCACTATTTCGAAAAAAAAATTGCGACAATTTACTTAAATCAAATTCATAGACCCAGTGAAGATGCTTGGAACCAAACAATTTATCTCTAACCGACCACGTGATAAGAATAGATAAGGAAGATTCCTCGAAGAGGATGCCAAATTTCATCTTAAGATGGTTGTGTGTATATATATGCACTAAAGTTAGCTAGGGAGGTTTTCATAGATAGTTTCATCTTTCAAAATAAGAATGTTTCAGAGTCCCTTTGAAGCTATCAATACTACTACATCTGTTATTTCTGCAAGATATGGCAAGTCTTCCGCAGCTCGCTCTAGAGGCAACAAGGTATAATCATGTACATACACGGACACACACATAAAAACCATATGGCTCTTCTTTCTTTCTTTTTTTTTTCCCCTTTATCTATTTTCTTTCCTGATTCATCGTACGACATATAGCATTAACTAGAACAATTCTCCGAATTGTATTTTAACTGCTGTGGGGTTTTGCTTATTTATTACATGACTATAAAGATTATTAGAAAGCAGAGGACAAAATAAAATCTCTATCTAGTCATCTTGATTATTATAACCCAAGGTGAACTTGTTAAAATCCTACTCAGTTTGTCAATTTATTAACTTATTTTTCTGTCAGATCAATCTGTTGCAAAGTCGGAGGTTTAATAAAATTCATGAATTTGATAAGTTCCTCCTTTTCGTAAACGGGCAATTGATTTTTAGTGAAATAACTTGTTCACATAGTATCCCTATGAAGTGTCGAGCACCCGGATTTATAATATATATATATATATATATATATATGAAACATAGAACTGGTAAGACTCTAAATCCACTTGTCATTTTCCGAAATTTTAACTTGTTAATTTGTGAGGCAAGATGAAAAATGAGAAGAGATTTGAAAATGCTCAAGAAAATTTGTTATTTAAAACATTATACTTAATTCAAGGTTACTTTTGACCCTTTGGATATATGTGTGCAGATTAAAAGGGAAGGTAGCACTGATCACAGGTGGGGCTAGGGGAATAGGAGCATGTATGGCGAGGCTCTTCACTAGACATGGGGCAAAGGTCATAGTCGCAGACATACGAGACGAACTAGGGCAAGCAGTGTGCAATGATATTGGATCCAAATATGCTTCGTACACCCACTGCGATGTGACAAAAGAATTCGATGTTAAAACTGCGGTGAAAAGTGCTATTTCTAGGCATCAAAAGCTTGACATAATGGTCAACAATGCTGTCTTAATAAATGAAGCTAAGCCAAGCATTGCAGATAATGAAGTGAGCGAATTTGAAAGGGTTCTTAGTGTGAATCTAACCGGTCCTTTCTTGGGAACCAAGCATGCTGCCAAAGTAATGATTCCTGAAAGAAAGGGAAGCATTATAAACGTGGGAAGTGTTTGTTCAAGTGTAGGAGGAGTGGCAACTCATGCTTATACCAGTTCTAAGCATGGCTTGGTGGGTCTCACCAAGAACGTAGCTGCTGAACTTGGGAAATATGGGATCCGAGTGAACTGTGTGTCTCCATATTTCATTGCAAATGTTGCTGCAAAAGATTTCTTCAAATTAGATGATGATGGATGCTCGAGTGTTTATTCCAATCTTGAAGGGGTTTATCTGCAAGAGGAAGATGTGGCTAGAGCTGCGCTATATTTGGCTAGTGATGAATCCAAGTACATAAGTGGGCATAATTTAGCCATTGATGGGGGCTTTACTAGTATCAATCCAATTTTTGGTTTGTTTTCCAGATCAAAGTAGTGTGGTTTGGGATCATCTTGTTCATTGCGCAACTGTGTTTCAATCTCCATGTAATAAATTTCAGTATATATTTGTTTAATCTATTAATTAAAATAATCAATTTTAGCCACTTCAAGCTAGCTAATAGGTTTCAGAAGTAAGGTCTCATTCATTGAGTGTGCGTGTATAGTCAACAAAATTAAGATAGCATAAATATGTACGAAGAAGAGGAAGATATATGGAAACAAATAAAAGATTAAAATATTAGAAGAGAAATGACCTGGCCCGTTACTTTGACAAAGGTTAAACTGATTGAAGCCATAGACCAGAAAATAACTAACGAGCAAAGATAGAACTACTGTTATATTTATATGGTATGTATATAACATTAAACATAAACACTACCGTTAGAGGAACAAGCATTCGTGTGTGTGTGTGTAATGTTAAAGCATACTGCGACCTCATCATTTGTGAAGGAATTAGAATGTGACTGCGTCTAACGTTGGGGCTCTGTCAAACCATAGTTAAGCTCATCCATATGATGGATCCAAATCAGAGCGGAATCTCTGCATTGAGCCCTCTCTTCACTGCACCTCTATTGAGTAAAAACGGCATTGTTTGTTTACATTAAAAAAATATTGGCCTTTTCAATTCAATTCAACCCTACTACAATCTTGTATCAGTTATGCATATCTCGAGCCTTTGTTTTCATGAGAGAGGAGGACGATTTTTGACATAGAGACTTTGTGTTCAAAGACCAAGGCAATCTTGTTGTTCACGTTGCAATATCCAATTATGAGAGAAGCCAAGTACAGAGTATTTGAATCTCTGATTGAAACTCTTTGTTTCCTTGTCCGGATTATGGGTTTCCTCTTTTTACAGTAACTTCTGTTCTTTCGTTCATGATGCCTAGGTGCACATTGCTGAAACCAACCAACTTCGTTAATGGCTTTAGAGTCCCAGTTCTTGGTTGCTTCTTGCAGCTTTGTGAAGGAGAAACATAGCCTCTGCTCAACCCCATTGTAGAAGCACTGAACTGGATTTGGAAAAGGGTTTAAAAAAAAAAGTGGCCCGATATTTTTTATGTGGTCAAAAGAAGCCATTTTTACTAAATGGAGGCATAACGAAGAGAGGATTCAATGGAGAGATTCCGCTCCGACTAAATACCGTCTTCCTTCTTCTTCCTTTCATTTTCGGCTGCCTTGCTCCAATCAACACAGACCACCGTTGCGGCAGAGTTGGAGCAGATTATCTGGAGCTAAGGTCCTGTTTGGCACGTAGATTTAATTTTAATGGATTGGAAATGGGATTGGGATTGGGATTGGATCTGGGATTAGGAATGAAGGTTATGTTTGGTATGAAGTAATGTTTAGAAGGAATTATTTCACTAATTTTATTTTATAATTAGATCTGAAATGTGAGAAGGCAAAAATATCCTTGCCAGAACTCCCAACACTATTGGTAAGCCTGGAACCGCCGTTCTTCTCCTTCATCTTCCTGCATTTCTGCCGCCCCATGCTTTGTGGCCGTCACCTCTATCATCCCCCGCTGTTCCAGTTGCTCTACAACATCTCTAGCCGTCGTCCCCACCATCCTGTGCCACTCCTTCGATTTTCCGTTTTGCATTGTGCGTCATCGCCTCTCTCCGTCAACACCCTGCACCACCGTCGTCACGTCTCTTTCCTCTTGGTGAGATTTGTCATTCTGGTTCTGCAATGGCTGTTTGAAGCTTCATTGATTAGGGTTTTAGATGACTTGATGCGACTGGACATGACGGTGGAAGGAAGATATAGAGAGGGGGGGGGGGGAAGACGACATGGGGAGGTGCGATAGGGACGGCAGCAACAACGCAGGAGACGAACGCCGAAACCATTTTGAAGTTAAGGGTACTTTTGTCCCAAAAATTTTCAATCCCAGGACTGAAAATCATTACCGGGGGATGGTGGGTTTAAACAATCCTACCTTTGTGACATTGCACAGTCCAGATTGTTTTCAATTCTTCCTACCAAACGCTACAAAATAGGCAATCTTAATAACGATCCTATTACCAACCTCCCTAGTATCACGTGCCAACCATGACCTTAGGTTGGCGGTGACCACCTCTCCACCTCTCTGACATTTTTCTGTTATGTTCATTGTGCTGTTAAGTTGGAGTGGGTGCGGTTTGCGTAAAATGAAACGAGGAAGGAGGGAGGAGGAAGGAGAGATCAAAAACGACATTTGGAAAAGAGTGAACGGCTGTGATTGAATGTGTGAATGAGCGGTCCGGATTGCTCAATCGGAACAATGTCGTAATTAAAAAAGAATTTGTAATATTCCATTTTGACAGTATTTGTAATATTCTGACCTCACACAAGGGGTTGTTTCGATACCTCAAAAAAATACTATCTGCTGCACTTGATATAAGATCTCGTTTGACTTTTATTTTGATCCTAAATATAAGACTCTGATCCACTTTGTCTCTAATATTTATGTATTTTTTCCTAAGATAGTCCTTCTAATAATGGTAGTTCTATTTAATATACTTGATTAGTAAAGATATTTTAGAAAAAACAACACTTATTTATTACAAATAACTAACTTAATTTATTTCCTTAATTTTCTCAAATTAATTAACTAGTTTTTATAATTAAGACCGGAGATAGTACTTTTTAAAAATATTTTTATGGAAATCAAGATAAAATTTTATCTGACATATTTATTTTTTATATCATAAAATAACTTTTAAAATTATAATCTAATTTCTATCCAGACATCTCCTGAATTTGGCTATTGCCTGCTTAACAAGAATCCGGGCCTACCAGTTTTGGAACCAGCACTTAGCCCGGAAGCTTTAAACCCTCAAAAAGAATTCTAGAAAATTCATGTGGGCTTTCGACTACATGTCCAGTAATGACAAGTCCAACCTATATTGTGCAACATTATTAACTAAAGCAAGACTAAGATAATAAACCCAACATCCGAGACATTAACCCCATCCAAGCATTACAAATATCCTTTTCCAGGTAAAAGGCCTTTCCAGAACTGTTTCGCATGGCTTCACTTACAGCTTGCTGGGTAAGTTTGATCTATGAGGAAGTTGCAGACACTCCCAATTCTCGTCTTCAACCTCCCGGAAGTACTGATTTACCATATCTTCACTAACCAGCTCCAGCTTTGGAGGGTCCCACTAATCAAAACACCCAACACACAAGCAACATCAACCAAAATTGTTATGCAATATTATAATCAGAATCAAACAAGCATTGAAAGCTAATTAAACCCTCTATCTCTCTCCGATGTCTTACCATGGCCTTGTTGTCCTTATCAAATAGCTTTGCTCTTGAACCCTGCAATAAAATCCAAGCTTATTCAAATCAAATAAAGCTTGCCACAATAGAATATAATCATGATACCTTGGTACTTACAATTATGGACACGCAGTGAAGAGGACAGTTCGACAACTAAACTATACCACGTTAATGATGCTTCTTTTTAATTAAATTATACGACCTTTATACACTATACAAAATAATTCTTATATTTAGAACTGGAGTTAATACTGACCTCATACAAATCATTGCTCACAGTTCTTCGCGCGACATGGCAGCTAATATTGTACTCCCGATGAAGGCATTGTTCGATGCTTTGTACTCTGCCTTCTCTCACCTCATCACATTAATTCATCATTTTCATTAATTTGCAATTTTTTTAATGCAGTTTCTAATAGTGTATAGTGCTACATCATAGTATATGTACTTACTGATCTAAGCCATATCTTGAGACTTGTAGGACTAGATGCACGCATAGAATTCAATGCATCTGCAATCCACTTTTCTGCTCCATCAACTTCCATTTCCTTTTCCTACGAAAGTTATGACATTCAAACAAGATATTCTTGTCCAAGAAATCAAATCCCCATTTTGATCTTTTTTCTAAGAATGAAAAATCAAATTCAACTCTCCGTACCAAGGACAGAACAATTTCCTCCACAGTTCCTTTTGAAAAGCATTTATTGATTGTGTCCATTCTGCAAAATTTGTCAAATGAACTTTTACTGTAAACTAACAAGAGAATTGATGAAAAATTGTTCGGCAATGAAGTCCCTGCTTTTTTTGTGACTGATAATATTGGTTTATTGTTCATCCACATGTGGTTCATTAACTATGATCCTAAGCATTTAATATATATATATATATATATATATATATAAAAAGCAAAGGAAGCAAATCAAATAGATGGGAAAAACGCACAAGCATATATATTCAAAAGAAGCACTATCATAATTAATTCATATGCATAACAATTCAGCTTATTTGCTGGTGCTATCATTTAGTTGTGTCTTGCGCTATGAGAAAAGTGTGTATATATTAAGAAACAGAATAATCACAAAATTACCTCTTCCAGGGGCTGTCTTCCTTAAGATGAGCTATTTCAGTAAAGTAATCAATTAATGCAGTAATCGTTGAAATATCTGAAGTTGTCACAGACTCTAGGGCTTTTTCCAGCAAATTTAGCTTCTGTTGCATGGAGGAAAGTGATGATAATATATAATGCCGCATTATTCTGTAGTTTCATGTTGTGGGAGAGAATATATACATATATATATATTTATATGCAGGTGAAGGGGTAAATTGTATATATGTTTATATGTATACCTTGGAAGGGACAAAATTAGTCGCTAGGCCACATTTAACCATTTCTGCTCCATTCAAACGTCTCCCTGTTAACCCTAGGTACTCCCCTATATATGCATGTGATGTAAATTGGAGAATCAAAATAAGCATATTTGCTTGAATAAGAATGATAAAATCTATATAAGCCACGATTACATGGATCATTTGTTTTGTATAGTTGTTATTAGAATATTTTCTGCATCGAACAGTTAAAATTAAATGTTGATAATGGAGTACTAGACAGAAACTCAGAAAGATAGATTAGTGTATTACCCAAATAGCCAGGAAGCCTCGAAAGAAAGTATGAAGCACCGACGTCTGGAAAAAGTCCTATAGATACTTCTGGCATAGCAAATACCTATTGATTAAATTAATAATGGTACGAGATTAGTCTAATGACCACAATAAATTGTATTCAATATAAATATCAATATTACTCTAACTAGTTACTAATTATGTATTATTAACCATGTATAATAGCTAATGAAGGATGTGTTCCGCTCAGAAGAAAATATGCATAGCACAATTTTTTTTTTGAAAAGTTGAAATTTATTTACTTCTTCCAATTTTAGATATAAGTTACTTCTATTAAATTTATTGGAATCAATATAACTTAGTTGAAGCAATAAAATTGTCTTAAAAGTGAATCGTCTGTCACATTTCCCCTCACAGACATTATCATTAAATCCTTTCACAGTAAAGTAGAATGTAGTAAGAAGGTATTTCCAAAATAACTCATTTTTTCACCTGAACAAAATAACTCGACTTTCTTGTAAAACATGTCGAATATATAAAATCGAAGTGAGCATGTAAGAGAGAAGGAGAAAAGATGAAACATACAGTTCTTTCAGTGACAATTCTAAAATTAGTGTTCATGGATAGACCGGCGCCTCCTCCCATGACCACTCCATTAATGAGAGACACCTTCATATTATTAATTAAACCATTAAATTTCTCTTTCAGATGATTAGAACTTAGAAATTAAAATATATAATCTGGGGGGAGGTTAGCAAGCTCACCACTGGCTTTTTGTAGGTTGCTATCAAATGATCTAATGTGAGTTGTTTCTTGTAAAAGCTTGCTGCATAAGACCAGTGTCCTATTTCCAACCACACCACTATTTTAAACACGAACATCTTTGAACTTCGAATGAAAATTAATCACACACAGCCACGCAATATATATAACAGTAACATGCTTATTTTAACCTTATGCAGCATAGAAAAAAAATGTTGACTTTTAAACGTTTTACCTACCTGCAATTGAAGAAGTAACTACTGATATCACATCACCACCGGCACAGAAAGTTTTTCCATTAGCCTGCATTCAAATAGAATAGAAAAGTTCAGTCCAAAAAAAAAACAGAGAGAGAACAGAAATGCTTTGTATATAATTACAACTTTAATTTTAATATAGACATAAGACATCAGTACGATGTTAAGAGTATAATTTAATTAAGAAAAGTCTATCTATGTTATGGAGTTATAGTTTTCCTAACTCTTCCATATATTACACCAGCACCCGAAATTTTTTTAAAAATAAACCTAAATAACGAGCGATTACGGTCAAGAAATCTTCAACTTCTCATGTACCTTTAAAATTATGAGTTTTACTGATGGGTCATTCTCATACAACGTCAATCGCTCCTTCATCTGACCTATCTGCGGAAAAAAAGCCAAGAAAATAATGTGTTGGGAGAAAATAGAATAGAGATGGCTAATTAATAAACAGAAGCAAACTGGACTAACCATTTCGTGATTGAGACTATTCAGCTTATGAGGCCTGTTTAGTATCACTTCCTTCACAAAGGAATTTCCTTCGAAAAGTACCTACACCGACAAAAAAAAAATCAATATAAAATACTATGTACGGCTTATTATTCAACATTTTATCTGGCCTATTGATCTAGACATCTAGTGCTTGTAAAAGGCAATGGGAGGAGTACAAATTAAAAAATGTTTTATTAAAAAATATAAAAGTATATTTTTTTTGGGAAAAATATCAAAATGTTTCTTGCTCAATATAGCCTCCTCTCACTCTCATATATTATCTCGATTTCTATTAATGGTAAAGTATGAAATGAAAAAACATATAAGAGCTAGTTCAAAAATTTATTTTGACTTTAAACATAAAATCTCAATCTTTTTTATATTATATTTGTATATGATATATAAGTTTTAAAAAAGGAAAATAATCTAGTTTTCAAACTCTTTGGAGCAGGGGGAAATAGAAATTATTAAGGGTATGTAAAAAGAAGGGGAAATAGAAACGACAGATTAGAAGTCTGCTAAAAAAAAACAAAAATTCATTGGAAGAAGTTGATACCTGGTTTGTTTCTTTCACAAAGGTTAATGTCAAAGCCATATTTCAGGAAATTAATGACTCACTGATTCTCAACAAGAGTGAACGAGAAAGTGCAGAACTCTAATGATATGGTTGGGATGTGCATATATGAATAGAATGTTAAGGAGTCCTAGTGCTTTAAGTCAACTTGTGAAGGGATGGGAACACGTCTCTGCCGTACATCACATGGAGCGGCGTGCTCCTCACGATTTAGCCTCTGATTGTGATCAAAGTTATATTTTTTTAAATACAAATTTAACACATGATTTGTGTTTAAAGTTGACTTTTTTTTTTTAATCGATTAACAGTTCAGAGCTATTTAAAAATTGAAACAAATGCTTTCAGGGCTCATTACTGGTTTTGATTATTTGGCCCACGTTATTTTTCATTAAAAAAAGCGTTTTTGGTTAATTAAAAACTTCTGAATCTCAGTTATTGATGTCAACAACGAAGGTTTTGGCTTATTATATGCTTTCATAATTTTTAAATATTTTTTTTACTAGAGCATGATCGTTAAATATAAAATGAAATAGCCTGATAATAATCATATAATGGCCGACTTATATAAACAATAAAGAAATAGTACCAAATATCCAAACTAAGTTGACACGTATGAATAAGCTTGTCGAATTGATGATTTTATAAAACTATAACGTAGACTTGTAATGTAAAATCTCAAAAAGCCTGCATAGCTTCTATTAAAAAAAAACAAGAAGAAGAAGAAATAGTACCAAATTCAAGGTGTTATCTGATTGGGTGTATTAGATAAACAATAAATGTACGAATTATTTAAAATTACCATATATTTAAAATTCATTCAGCATGTATGTGAATGAATTAAAAAAAAGGAAGAAATATTTAAGGACGATCAAATTGCCACCCATGGCCATGTGTTCTAACTTATCATCTTCTCATGTCATCATTGTTGCATCATTATCCTTTAGTTTACGTTCGAAATTAAAGCCCTGAGTTGCAGATTTTAACAACGTTTCATCTACTGTGTTATGCGTTGATGATATGTTTATATAGAGTCCTTTGGCCCAAAAAAAAAAAGGTTTATATAGAGTCCAACAATGAAAAATATCATAACATTTTACTTCTATTAATGAAATAACAATTATACATGAAGTTACATATTTTATTCTTAAAATATAATATAGAATAAAATTAAATAATCAGTATACATGAATTCATAAGCCAAAGTGACATGTGATCCATGTGCTATGTTGATCATAAAATCGAATAAAGACGCGTGCCATTTTATATTGCCGAAAAGTATAACTTCAAGATCACAACATTTTACTTTTACTAATGAAGAAATAATTACAAAAGAAGCTACATATATATATTACTAAAATATAACAAAGAATAAATTAAATAATTAATATACATGAATTCGAAAGCCAAAGTGTCGTATAATCCATGTGCTATATGTTGATCTTAAAATCGAATAAAAACACGTGTGCCATTTTATACATTGCCGAAAGCTATAACTTAAGAAATCATAACATTTTGCTTCTATTAATAAAATAATAATTATATAACTTAGCTATATATATTATTAAATTATAATGTAGAACCAATATACATGAATACAAAAGCCAAAGTGCCATGTAACCCACGTGCTATATTGATCTTAAAATCCCATAAGTCCCGGGTGCCATTATTATATTGCTGTTCTGACAATTTACTTAAAAAGAATTCACAGAACCAAATAATTTATATCTAACCGACCATCTGACGAAAATAGACGAGGAAAATTCCTCGAACATGCTGTCAAATTTCATCTTAAGATGGTTGTGGTTATATATCTATTCAATTCAGGGAGGCTCTTATATGGTTTCATCTTTCAAGATTTCAGAGTCCCTTTGAAGCTATCAAATACTGCGTCTGTAACTATAATTCTCGTAGACATGGCAAGTCTTCCACAGCTAGCTCTAGAGGCCACAAGGTACACACTCAAACGCGAAATGATATGTTGAAATAATTTGTATATATGTCAGGAATTCTCTACTGGAGTACTGGGTGTAATTGTTTTTGGCTTTTGTGCGAAAAACGCCGAGTATCATATGGCTTTTCAATCCGTGTTTCTGTGCTCTCTTCTCATTCTTCCATCATATTCCAGATTAAGATATTGTAATTAGCTATCTTCTATTATATTATTTCATGTGCAAATATTTCTGTGGTGGATATATTTTCAGATTGCAAGGGAAAGTAGCATTAATCACTGGTGGGGCCGGGGGAATTGGAGCTTGCATGGCAAGGCTCTTCACTAGACATGGGGCAAAGGTCATAGTTGCAGACATTCGAGACGAACTAGGGCAAGCAGTATGCAACGATATCGGATTGGAATCTGCTTCCTATGTGCACTGCGACGTTACGAAAGAATCTGATGTTGAAACTGCGGTCAAAACTGCGATTTCTAAGGATCAAAAGCTTGACATTATGGTGAACAATGCTGCCTCAATAGATGAAGCTAAGCCAAGCATTGCTGATAATGAAGTGAGCGAATTCGACAGGGTTCTTAGCGTGAACCTAACGGGTCCTTTCTTGGGAACCAAGCATGCTGCTAAAGTTATGATTCCTGAAAGAAAAGGAAGCATTATAAATGTGGGAAGTGTTTGTTCAAGAGTAGGAGGGGTTGCCACTCATGCTTATACCAGTTCTAAGCATGGCTTGGTGGGTCTCACCAAGAACGTAGCTGCTGAACTTGGGAAATATGGGATCCGAGTGAACTGTGTGTCTCCATATTTCATTACAAATGTTGCTGCAAAAGATTTCTTTAAACTAGGTGGTGATGGATTCTCTAGTAGTGTTTATACGAATCTTGAAGGGGTTTATCTGCAAGAAGAGGACGTCGCTGGAGCTGCGCTATATTTGGCTAGTGATGAATCCAAGTACGTAAGTGGGCATAATCTGGCCATTGATGGAGGCTTTACTAGTATCAATCCAATATTTGGTTTGTTTTCAAGATCAAAGTAGTGTTGTTTGGGATCGTCTTGTGAGCTATTTGTCATTGTGCAACTGTGTTTCAATTTCTATGTAATAAATCTTAGTTATGAATTTCATTTAGTGTGTAAAAATAATCCGTCTTAGCTACTTCATGTTGGCTGGGATAGTTAGAATAAGGTGTACGTAGGCAGAAGTTCAAAGTTCAAACCCTCTTCCTGATGTAATAATAAAAATCAGTTTAGTTTATTTTGCAAATCTCAATTTAAGTCTTTACAAAGTCAAAACTAATTACAAATTATTCCCCAAAGACGTTTGGCTTTCACCAATAACATGGGTAGAAGATGAGGATTTCTTTGGACTCTTCATCTTGGGATCCGACTGTCTATATTCACAGAATTAGTACGTTTTTATTTATTTATTTGCTTGTTTTAATACTCATTCCTTTTTATTGTTATTTATATATGATGATGAAGAAAATCTGTCTCCCTCGGAAGAATAATAATAAGAATCGGAAGGTTAGTGAGTAATGAAAACTTCCTAACTCCTCTCACGTATTAAATTGAAAATTTTCAGCCACAGGAACTAAGTTGAAGGTTTACAAATACCAAATTACTGGCATTAATTAATTTACGACGCTTCATTATAATTCAATTCAATAATGCTAAACAATCTATAATAATAAATATTCTTTTTGAGATAAATTAAAAGCCCTTTCCATTTCCAGTTGGCTTCAATCATCAAGAGTTTGCTGGGTACGTTTGATCTGTGAGGAAGTTGTAGGCACTCCCAATTCTCGTCTTCAAACTTCATGAAGTATTGATTGACGATCTCTTCGCTAATTTGCTCAAGCTTTGGAGGATTCCACTAATCAAATGACATTAATAATAAAAAAATTACTATATACTACCTCCGGTCTTTGATATAAAACCTTATTTGATTTTTATTTTAACCCAAAATATAAGACCTCAATCTACTTTATTTTCTATATTGATACATTTTTTATCAAGGTGGTCCTTCTAATAATAGTAATTCTAGTCAATACACTTGATTAGTAAAGATATTTTAAGAAAGAAAATATTTATTTATTACAAATAACTAACTTAACTTATTTTCTTAATCTCCTCAAATTAGTTAAATAGTTCTAGCATCAGAAATAGTATATAATATTGGTTATAATTTTTTGTTGTTGAGAGAATCACTTAAATCGCACAAACTCGATGGAATGAACAAGAGACACTGTTGTTTACCTTGGGCTTTTTGTCTTTATCAAATAGCTTTGCTCTTGAACCCTGTGAAGTGCGTGCGTTACAGACAAGTTGCTTTTCCTTTGCTCATCCAACCGAACAATTTTTCTTATATTTAAAAATGGAGGTAGTAATTTTTTCTTATATATAATACATTATCTCTTTTATTTTTATACTTTTAATTTTAATATTTCTCTTAAATTTATCCAATTATATACATTATATATATAATAAAATTAATGTCTTTTTCAGTTATTTTACATCTAAACTTCTTTTACTCATCCAAACAAGTTTCAATTTGTTAAATTAATTTTTTTTATATGTAAACTTCTTTTACTCATCCAAACAAGTTTCAATTTGTTGAATTGATTTTTTTTATAAGAAAATCCAAACATAAATTATATTACACTAATTAACTTTTATCTTAACTTATGTTTGCAAAATATCAGATGAAATGAAAGCTACTTTTTCTATGGGTTCTGCGAAATATGCCGACTTAACGTTTAAGATTTAGATCAACTTCATGAGTCAAGGCACCTATACCGAGGGAGGCAAAGGAGTTTCTTTGAAAAGAGCTGGGCAGATTGGATCACACAAAACCTCAATGGCAACCAGAGAAGGCAGCGTGAAGGAAAAGGGGCAGAAAGATTTGCCACATGCTGCTGGCACTTATGGAAATGGAGGAACCAGCAGCTACATGACCCGCAGTTTAAGAGACCTATAGCGTGCTGGAGTTATCAGGGGGAGCCGCGGAGAATGGTTGGGAGGCGTTACAAAAAAGTTGGGAGTGTGTAATATAGTTGCTGCAGAGACGCGGGGGATTTATGAAGGGATAAAACTAATTAAGTTGGCAGTTGGGATTCAGAATAATATTAGTAGAGTGTGATGCATCCACAGTTATTGATCACATCGATCACACAAGGGAAAGTGATGCCGGGCTGTCATATATTATCACAAAGGCTTATTATAGTCTGATTCGGGAAGATTGGCAAGTCACATTTATGCATGTTTACAGAGAAAGCAATACATGTGCAGATCGCCTGGCTGAAATGAGTACGGTACAGCCAGAAAGAAGCGTCATTTGGCACTCCCCACCGGATCAAATTATGAGAATCTTCCAAGAAGATATAGATGGAAAGAGTTTCCCAAGCTAGGAACTTAGCTGTCAGTTTGTAGTTGCCTTAGGTCACTTTTGTCACCAAAAAAAAAAAAACGCCATTTTTTCTATCACTACTCTAAAAACACCCTTGGAAGTTGCAGATAAAGCTGGCGAAGGTCACCATATAACGAGTTGTCCATGGCTGAGAAACGGTGGGACCCACTTAAGGCTAATGAAGTATGTATCTTTTGTTGCCCACTTGTCCCCCCATATGTATATGGTCCTTATTTTTCTTACCAACTTTTAAAACTAGATGCAAAATGATGTCAATATATTGTAATTAACAATTTATTGGAAAAAATAATGATTTGCTTAAAAATAATTATATAACTGGATCGGACAATTCAAATATAAATATAAACAGTGCAGAAGAGGCCTATGCAACGCATAAAAAATTATAGGCATAAAATTTCATCCTATGAATGATCTTTTAATGGAAGAAATAAGTGAGGTCTACCCTATTGGCCGTTCTAACAACTGATTCCTTAATTAGAACAATTCAAAGCACATATACGATTAGTCATGTGAATATCATACAGATATTCCTAATTAAATAATCAGTTTGTCCCTAAACCATCCCTGTGACAAGCTGACGACATAATTTGACCCGGCAATTTGGCGCCCATCTAATTAATTAAGAATCCTTTAAGACACGGCCAAATTCATCTTTAGAACTATACTTTTGTCTTTGTCTTTTCAAGTGTTGGGTGCCTCTACATAATAGTCTTCGTTTTTTCAAGTGTTGGGTGTCTCTACATAATAATATTTATTCTTTTTTTTGGGCCAAACATATATCTATCTATTCGAGATATGAAGATTTGAATTTTTTTTTTGGGAAATATTTGATATTTTTAATTTTGATGAAAAAAAGGGTATTCCTTCATGTTTCGAAATTCAACTAACATTCATTAGCTGAAATGCTGCCATAATACATTAAGATAAACGAGCAGGTTGTAAGGTAAAGCTATGAATTTGAATGATACTTGCGTAATACAACCAGACCACAATTATATACTAAAATATTTTTGGAGGACAACGACATGCACTCTATGACTTTAAGATATATATATCCCAAATTATTAACATGGTTTAATTTATTTTATGACATTACAATCCGCTAATAATGCCCGCCAACAAAATTATCCTTTCTTTCAGACAAAAAGCTCTTGATTTGAATGGCACAAGTATTGCAATGAGCTTCAATCTAAAGCTTGCTGGTTATGTTTGATCTACGAGGAAGGTGCAGACACTCCCAATCCTCATCCTCAACCTTTTCAAAGAATTGATTTACCATTTCTTCGGTAACCAGCTCCAACTTTGGAGGATTCCACTAAAAAAGAGACACAAATTAAAGACAGAATTTGTGATGCCATTTTGCTGGGCCAAATGAAGATTATTGTGTGTGTGCGTGCGCGCTCGAGCGAGAGAGAGAGAGAGAGAGAGAGAGAGAGATGAGATGTCATACCAGAGGCCTGTTGCCTTTATCGAATAACTTAGCTCTGGAACCCTGTTATGTTCAAAGGCAAAAAGTCTTGTAAACAAACGAAGACTAAGAAAATTAAAGCTAAGATTTATCAGCAGATTTAAATAATTTTAAAGTGGTATAATCTGTTCCAGTTCTGACCTCGTAGAAATCGTTGCTCACAATTCTTCGAAAGAAATGGGAGGCAATATTGTAATCCCGAGATAGGCATTGTTCAATGCTTTGTACTCTGCCTTTTCTCACCTAATCACATTAATTCATTTGATTCATTTGTAATTTTTGAATATAATTTTTAATAATATATACATCTTCGAATATATGCTTACTGATCTAAGCCATATCTTGAGGCTTGTGGGACAAGATTCACGCATGTAATTTAATGCATCTGCAATCCACTTCTCTGCTCCATCAACTTCTATTTCCTTTTCCTACCAAAATTATGACATTGTTCAAATAAGGTACTAATTTTCGTTTGAGAAATCCTGATTTCAAATTTTTTTTTCTAAGAATGAAAAATGAACATTAAATTCAACTCTCCGTACCAAGGATAGAACAATTTCCTCCACGGTTGGTTTTGAGAAGCATTTATTGATTGTGTCCAGTCTGTTTAATTTGTCAAAAGAATTTGGCTGTAATCGTTGTGTGTGATGAAATACTGGGAAAAGATTTAAGTACATGTACCATGCGCATTGGATAGTAAACTAACAGGAATTATTGAAAGATTGTTTGGCAAGGAATCTGACTATATAAAGGAAAAAAAACCCCACAAAATTACCTCTTCAAGGGGCTGTCTTCCTTAAGATGAGCTACTTCAGAAAATTTATCAATTAATGCAGTAATTGTTGAAATATCTGAAGTTGTCACAGTCTGCAGGGCATTTTCCAGCAACTTTAGCTTCTGTTGCACGGAGGAAAGTGATGTGAATTTTACTAATAAATACATAATGTCAAACTATTATAGGTTCAACTTGAGGATTAGAAGAGAATATTCATGAGATGGTGGAGGAGCACAATAATGTTATGTATTAATTACCTCGGAAGGGACGAAATGAGTAGCAAGGCCACATTTAACCATTTCTTCTCCATTCAAACGTCTTCCTGTTAATCCCAGATACTCCCCTATGCACCATATGAGATAGATTGGAGAATCAAAATGAGCATCACAAATGCAATAAATTGCAGTGTTTATGTAGTCAAATTGGATAATTAAACCAATCTAATTAATTTTTGTTTTTATCCACATTTGTTTCCTGACATGATTTTTTTTTCAAAGAAAGCTAGTAATAGATAATTATTTGGGCCATGAACGCAAAAGATCTAAGAGAAAGAAGAACAGCAATTGACCCAGTCCCAAATTGTTTGGTGTCAAGGAGAGGAGAATGTCACTTAAACTTGATATTATAAATTGTGTATCAATAATTAATTAATGGGGTCAAGGATATGAAAGCATGACGAAAATTGCATCACGGAATATAATTATCACGCGTATGTAAATTTGCTCATATAATTTTTATTATAATATTTTTCTGTATAGAAATTGTCAAAATTAAATGTTGATGATGTACTCATAGATTAGAATATTACCAAAATAACCAGGAAGCCTTGAGAGAAAGTATGAAGCACCCACGTCAGGAAAGAGTCCTATAGATGCTTCTGGCATGGCAAACACCTATTTATTAATTAAACAAAAATGACACAAGATTAGTCTCATGACTCAATATAAATGGAAGTGCTTTTAGTGCTGATGAGGGTGGTGAGCACCAGAATTTGGACCGTATGTCCACATTTCTTTTAAATTATTTTAAAAAAAGTATTTTAATGTGTACAAAATTTAAAATAATGATAATCTCTTAATTTCAATTTTTAAAAAAATTATTTTGTTAAAAAGTTATCAGTTAAAAATTTTCAATATGAGCTATTCAACTCGTATTTAGTGCAGATATCATATTTTAACTTTTTCCTACATGTTGAATATACGAGATCGAAGCAAATGTGAGAGAAGAAAAGATAAAACATACAGTTCTTTCAGTGACAACTCTAAAATATGTGTTCATGGATAGACCGGCTCCTCCTCCCATGACCACTCCATTAATGAGAAACACCTTCATATTATTAATTAAACCATTAAATGTCTATTTTATTATACGATTAGAAATTAAAAATGAAAATATATAATCTGAGGGGGGACTAGCAAGCTCACCACTGGCTTTTTGTAGGTTGCTATCAAATGATCTAATGTGAGTTGTTTCTTGTAAAAGCTTGCTGGGTAAGTCCAGTGTCCTAGTTCCAATCACCGTTATATTAAACATGAATATCTTTGAACATTGAAGATTAGTCCCACACACACACACACAAAATTCATTTTCCATAAAATAATATGTCACACTCCAATAAATTACTATCTTCTGTTGAATTTAAATATTGGACGACCTACCTGCAACGGAAGAAGTAATTACTGATATCACGTCACCACCAGCACAGAAACCTTTTCCACTAGCCTGTATTAAAATTGAAAATAAATTACAACGTCTAATCAATACGATATTCAGAGAAGTCTATAAGTACTGTTTGAGGCTCACAAATCCCACTTGGAGAATTGTGCTCATAGTTTGAAAAATTATTTATACATTTTACAAGATAAATTAAAACTCCTCTTGAATATATATATATATTTATGTTATATAGCACAAAACCACTTAAAATAGGTTAAACCAAATATCAATTGGTCAAGAAATCTTCAAGTGCCCATTTACCTTTAAAATTATGAGTTTTACTGAGGGTTCATTCTCATGCAGCGTCAATCTCTCCTTCATCTGACTTACCTGCAAAAATAGAGAGAGAAGTCATCATTGATTAATATCCGAGTCAACATCATTTAGCATTTAATAAATGATTTACTGTAAAGGATAAAGTAACAGAAAAAGTAAGATGGGCTGATTTATTTGCAGTAGGTTGCTGGCAGATTTGGAAGTGGCGGAACCTATGGCTACATTATCAGGATTTTGAGCTACTGTTCAGCCCGGAGAAAATAATCCGAGAGCAGCTGGAAAGCTACCACCATAAATGGGGACAAGGTATGTGGGAGACGGCTGAAGCAGATGTAAGTAATGGGAGCTGGCAGCTCCCAAGGAAAGGATGGTGTAAATTAAACACAGATGGGACTGGAGCAGTGAATGGATGGAATGGGTGTGGTGGAGTAATCAGAGGGGATTGTGATGAATGGCTTGGAGGATTTACTATGAGGCTGTCAGAATGTACTGTCGTTGAGGCAGAAACAAGGGGTGTTGTGGAAGGTATGCTGGCGGATGGGTTTTAGGAGGATAGAGGTAGAGATCGATGCAAAGTTAATTGTTGAAGCTATCAAGTACAAAAGAAATATTGAAGGACACTACAACACGTTTGCAAGAATCCGTGAGTTGTTAAGGTTTGATTGGCAAGTGCAATTCAGCCATGTGTACAGAGAGGGCAATCTATGTGCGGACAAAATGGCTACCATAGGAATGGAACAAGGTGGAGCAAAACGCTACTGGCAGGTCCCCCCGGATGAGCTTCAAAAGCTTTTACGTGACGATCTCGTTGGTTTAGAAACTTTTGGAGTAGTAGAACTTAGTGTCTAGAGTTTTTGTCCTTTTGTTTCTCTTGTCACCAAAATAAATAAATAAATAAATGATTTACTGTTCTCCAAGTTGCTTCCACCAACTGGTCTTTTTCTTAAAGAAAAAATGACACATTCCAAGTACAGAAGCCAAAAAAAAAAAGGGACAATAATGTGCTGGGAGAAAATAGATGAGAGATAGCTAATTAACAGGAGCGAACTCGACGACTAACCATTTCGTGATTGAGACTATTCAGCTTATGGGGCCTGTTTAGGATCACTTCCTTCACACAGGAATTTCCTTCAAAAAGTACCTACCCCGACCAAAAATATAAATATATATAAGTACAAAATAATATGTAAAAAGAAGGGAAAATAGAAACATCAGACGAGAATGAAGTTTAGCCAAAATATAATCAAAGGAAGGAATTAATACCTGGTTTGTTTCTCTCACAAAGTTTAAAGTCAAAGCCATATTTCTGAAAGTCAATAATAACTCACAAATTCACAATTAAGAGTGAAAGAAAAAGTGAGGAACTCCACCATTACAAGTAGTAACATGGTTGGGGTCTGTGTATATATATATAATGTTAAGGAATACCTAGCACTTTACGTCAACTTGTGAACGAATGCGAACACGTTTCTGACGTACATCACATGGAACGCCATCTTCATCACAAATTAACGTGTGATTGTGATTAAAGTTTAATTTTTAATTTGGCCAAAAAAAATTATTTATTACAAATTTGACATGTGATTTGTGCTTGGAGTTGACCTTTCTTTTTTTTAAAACGATGGTCTGTTCAATGCTATGCTATTAAAAAAATTGAATCAAATGTTTTTCTTTCCGCCCTTACTGGCCCTAAGAGGTTACTTAAACATTTCTTGATCTCATTATTTGATGCCAACAACCAAGGTTCTGGCTTGTATGCTTCCATGCATTTTAAATACTCATCCTATCTTTAATATAGGATTTAATTGTTTTAGTTTTAAATGTTATACTTATTTTTCATATTTATCAATTTTTTTCAAATTAATCCTATGAATACTTTCTCAATCATAATCAAGTAAAAAAGTGCGGAGGATATTAAAAAGATGATTATAGTGTTTTAAAAAAATATTATATTTCTTATAATTAACTAACTTACCTAACTTTTTTAATATACTCAAATTAGTTAAATACGTCTTATAGTTGTATTGAGCATTGGAAGAATTTTTTTTTTTATAACCAGAACCTATTGTTAAACTAAACTTTTCATTATTGCTTATAAGTTATATTATTTACTCCCCTCAGCAATTACGCGCATAATAAGTTGATTGTGATGATTTTGACAAATTAAAGTTGGAACTTAAATTTAACCATCACATTGAGTGTCAGGACATGGATGAAAAATTTTTACGAACCCATTAAAATTGCCACTACTTGAACATCTATTTATATGATTTGTCCAAGCTAATTTTACAATATTAATTAATTCTAATCTTTGCTGATAAAAGTAGAAATTTAACCAAGTAAAGCTGCGTCTATATGTGCCAAGAATGTAATGCCATTGGTCTTACACTTCTAAATGATCTTAAAATTAATAGCGGGGCCTTTTTTTTAAAAAAAAATTAATCTCACGCGTGAATGAATTTAGAAAAGGAAGAAATAATTCAATGAATACCAAATTGGCGCCCCTGTGCTCTGATTCAATCTACTTCTCATGTCACCATGGTTGCGTCATTATCCTTTCGATTAAGTTTTAATTAAAGCACCGAGTTGCAATTTTTTACCTCATTTCATGTGACGTAGACGTGTAAATAACTTCGTAAGATTTTACTTCCACTAGTGAAATAATAATTATACATGAGATTACATATTATACTATCAAATTAAAATATGATAGAGGATAAGTTAAATAATCAATATACATGACGTGCGTATAAATTTTTTATTAATAAAAAAACATAAAATAAATTTAGTTTTTCAAATTTACGAAGTATCTAAAGTTACCACTACTTGAACATCTATTCAAAACTCACACGATGGAAGGCAATTTTTGTACTCTTGATCAACCTCCACCTCTTATGCAACAGGAGGAGGAGCTTGATGATGGGTGTTAGCTCGTTTAGCTTGGCTGTACTTTTGTTTCTTGGAATCCAGTTTTCATTCAAAAAAAAAAAAAAACTCATTCATCATGTGTATGAATGAGTTGGGAAAAAGAAGGAAGAAATAATTCAATGAATATCAAATTGGCGCCCATGCGTTCTGACTCAATCAACTTCCGATGTCACCATGGTTGCGTCATTATCGTTTCGTAAGTTTTATTTAAAGCACTGAGCTGCAATTTTTTTACAGCATTTCACATGACGTGGACTTGTAATGTTACATCGTAAGATTTTACTTCTAACGTAAGGTTACAAATTATATTATCAAATTAATATAGGATAAATTAATAATCAATATACATGACGTGCGTACAAATTTTTTATAATGAACGACACATAATAAATTTTATTTTAAAATCTACGAATTGTTCAAAATTTCAACTACTTGAACATCTATTTAAAATTCATTCCTCATGTGTATTAATGAGTTTGAAAAAAAGGGAGAAGTAATTTAGGAAGATCAAATTGCCGCCCATGTTTTCTGACTAATCACCTTCTGATGCCACCGTTAATGTTTGCGTAATTATCCTTTCGTTTTAATTTTAAAGGACCAGGTTGCAATTTTTATATAACAACATTTCATCTGTGCTGTTATTCTAAGAAATACAATATAATTGGCATATTTCTTTTAATATTATGCGGGGGTACGAGGAACACTCACACATATGGATAGGACAAATTACTCGAAATGGTCGCAAATAACAAAGTCGACTGTCTTCACTAGAGAGGCAACAAGGTACACACACACACACACACACGTACACATGTGAATTTCATGTTTGAATCTTTTTATCAAGATATTTTCCCTCTTTTGTTATTTATTAACGTATTTCAACATTTTTTTAAAATTTAAATCATGATATGAATAACCTTTTGAGAGAATATAATTATACCTCAAGATTCAAATGAACGGTTATCAAGAAGAATTTTGTATTTCTGACATTATTCCGCAGGAACAGATTTGATCTTCTCTACAAATAAAGAATCTTATTGAAATAATAAGAATATTTCAAGGTGACCAGGGGAAATTTGAACCCGTGAGCCATTAGCTCACCAAAAGGCTTATGAAGTGGACTTAACAATATAAAAGCTCAACTTGTTAATCTGTAAGGGTCTATTGCAAATTGGGAGGTTTGAAAATTCATGAATTTGATTAGTTCTTCTTTGTAATTGACAACTGAATATTAGTGAAATAACATGTTCCCATATGATTCCTATGAATTTTTCAAACCTGCCAATTTATAATATCAAATGGACTAATTAAGATTCTAACTGCTTGTCATTTTATGAGCTTGTTAAAAGATTAATATAATCTAAGATTACTCTTGACACGGTCGATATCTCTGCAGATTAAAAGGGAAAGTA